TCTTTCAGGACGAGAAAATCAGAGTCGGGCTCTAGACTTTCGAAGAGAAACGTGGTGGCGAGTTTCAGCCACAGGAACACTCCTGAGCTCTTTTCAGCGAGCATCCCGACGATGTGTTCTTCCTCTTGGCCGTCCATCTTCCCTCTTAGCGAATGCAACTTTGGTTCCTCGCCGAACGTTCTGATCAGGTAAGTCTGTATATCATCTCTCGTGTATTCCTCCAGTACCATCCTAGGCTTATTCTCAAACGCCGAATAGAAGACTGGTGAGCTCCGGGCCGAAAGCAGGAACTTGACGTTGTCTCTCCGCGAAGTGCTGAACACGAGGTCCATCAACTCCTTCGGATAGTCATCCGTCTCATCCAGCCCATCGATCATGAAGAGAAACTTCTTGTTCGCATCGCCGACCAAGCTCTCAAACGCTGCTTTCAGTTCCGGAAAAGTGAACTCGTGTAGGCCACCAGCGTAGGATTGGAATGCATTCCAGCGATCGGAGAACAGGTTCTGCATAATGACCCCGTCTTCTTCCAGGGGCCCAAATATCATGTCCTGTAAGCTTTCGTAGATGATGGCTCGCAGTAGACCAATGGAACTCTTCTGCAGCTCTGTCCCATTGTTCCAAAGAAAGAACCCAGACGTGATGCCGGGTTTCTGACCAGACCACGCCTCGAGATGTGGGAACAAGAGTGGATTGCGGAAGAGATATTTCATCAGAGTGGTTTTCCCTGAGCCCGGTTTACCTGGAGCCGTTGTAAGAAGACATTCAGGGATCGAAAGACGGAATAGTAAGAGATGAAGACGCACCGGTGAGCCAATATATTTCTTCGCCCCTCGTATTAGTAAACCACTCCAGCAAACCGCCAACCTGTCTCGAGCCGTCTCCCATCACCCACTCGAACCCTAAATCGACGGAACTATCGATGCTATTCATCCTTTCGTCCATCTCCTCGAACCACAGCCTCTCGAAGATGGTAGCGCGGAAGTATGCTTCCTTCTCCGCCTGGATGAGCGCATCAACCTGTTTGGAAAACTCCTCTACATCCTTCTTCTTGCTGCTTTTCCAATCATTGCTGTGGATCATATCGAGGGTTTGGTTCTGCCACTTTTCCCAATGCTTCGTGTGCACGCCTTCGTCGCCGCTGAACAGAGCGAGACCAGTCTCAATGGATTGATCCAGATACTGGCGCATAGCGAGCAGTAAACTCGTCTCAATGTCGCGACGAAGGGCACGGTACTTCTTCTTTGTACCTGTCACATTGGCCTTCTTCCACACGCCGTTCAATAATGCTTCGCGCGCAGTAGGCCATCGCGGGTCACCAAACTTTCCCTTCTCTTGCGCCGCGATTAGCGCGTCGATGAATGAAGCTGTCAGTTCCTTGACTAGCTCAGCATGCTTCAGCAATTGCAGCGCTGCCTCGCTAAGTTTCTTGGCTGCTTTTGCGCTCTTTGCTGATTTTTCGTCGTACAGCTCTTTGAGCTCAGAGTTGTCAATTAGGTCGGTCAGGCGATAGAGATTGTGTATGGTATCTTGTAGGAAGGCTGCATTTTCGACGAGCGGTGTTGTCGAAGGTGAGCTTGGCTGGAAGATGGGATGGTCTTTGCGTAGTGCGTTGATGGAGAAGTCGATAGTTTGGATGAGCGCACTTGCAAGGCCGACCGCCGGTATGGGGCGCAACATACTGTGGAATTGCTTTTTCGCGGCACAGCAAAAGCCTAGTCGCGACGTCTGAGCCTTGTGACCCTTTTGATATGCGAAGCGCATGTCTGCTGCGCCCCTAAGGCGTATGCGCACAGACCAAGTTCACTGAGGGCCTAATCCAGGGTGCGGGCGTTTCAAAGTTCAGCGCACGTCGATCTTGCCGACACCACGACCTCCCGCGGTCGTCTCAGGACCGAGGTACTAAGGTCAGACCGTATGGTGCCTTCGCTACGACGACGTCGGGTTGGAACGGTCTTACCTGCCTAGCTATGATGCCACGTTGCCGACTCGACGGCTTCAGCCTGATATTGCGTAATATCGCAGATGCGTAAGAACGCCGCGCCAGCAGTCCGAGGTTGAGAAGGCTCTGTGCTCTTCAATGGCACCAGAAGTTTGAGACTGAGCCGGACGCTTCTGACATGGTAAAGATAGACTGGATCTGCATGGGTTGACGTTTGCCTTGCGCCTACTTCCTCCGTCCTGCCCGGCGCAGTCGTCCCTCACCACAGTGGACCGCTAATCATGACGTTCAATAAGAGTTTCACCTCTTTCTTCAGTAGTCCAGCATGGACAAACCATCGATATGGATTTTGGCACTGCCGTTGGTGTCGTTCTCTCGATGTCTTTGCTAGAACTCACATTGTGCTAACAACATCGACTGTCACGGGGGATACCTCTGGAATCCATAACAGATCCACCTCTAAACACACAACCCTCTCGTCATCTTCCATGCTCTACTTTAGCCAATAGCGTTGGCGTCGAATCTCTCTTCTGGCATAAGCTTATGCTTTTCTACCCAAAACCTTCCGCCACGCAAACTCCTCCCTAAACCCTAACAACTCCTTCATCTTCGCATTACAAACCGGACTCTCCCTCCCCCTCAACCCAGCCAACACTTCCGTCTCAGGACAAGCCTTCCTCAACCATTCCTCACTGTTCCCTTCTTCCTCCGGCACCGTAATCTCATCATTGACCGCATTAAAAATCTGGAACCCCAACCCATCCGTCTTCAAACAACACTGCACCATATTCCCCAAATCGCGCGCATCGGTATAACTCCACGCATGCACCTTGAAATCCCGAGGCCGAGTCAAATACGCCGAGAACTTCTTGGCGTGGTTTTCAGGTTCTATAACTGCGGAGATGCGCAGGCAGTAGATGTCTACGCTGGGAAAGCGGCGGGCGAAGGAGGCGGCCGTGGTTTCCATGCAGAGTTTACTGGTGGCGTAGACGTCCATGGGGCTTGTGGGACTGGTTTCTGTGAGGGGAAAGTGCGGGTAGGAGACGTTGCCTTCGGCGTAGGTGATCCCGTAGGTGGTTATGCTGGATGCGAGAATAATCTTCTTGACGCCGAGTTTGCATGCTGCCTCGATGACATTGTAGGAGCTTAGGGTGTTGATGCGGTAAGTTTCGTTGTCGGGGAGGCGCATGGGTTGGGGGATGCCTGATAGGTGGGTCGGGTTAGTCTTGTTGAGAGTTTGTTGCTGGAGTCAAGTGATGTTTCCTGATTCCCTGCTTATTTGCAGGATGTCTAGAGGTGAGATGGAAAATGATACGTACCAGCGAAATGTACGACTGCATCTGGCGTCTTGACTGGCTCCATAAAGGGTTCACTAATCTTGAAGTGGCAAGACAGACTGTTGAAGGCTTGCGCCCCATCTGTGAGATCGGCCTTTAGAGTGTGTACATTGGGGTTGTCCAGAGGCGTTGCATCCACGTTGAGTATCTCGTGGCCGAAGGTAAGCAGCTTTTCAATTACATGGCGTCCTGCGACTCCAGAACCACCTGTAAATACTATTCTCTTGGTTTGTGAAGAGGCCATCGCGCAAATGCGTGGGAATCTGTGAGATGGAGCGGTAAATGAGATCCGACGAAGGCGTTTATAAGTATGTAAATAAGGAACAACCAGTCGTAGAATTCATAGTGCTGATCGTCAGGTTTGTTGTTCTTGGGCGGAGCTTCCCCGCTCTAGCTTACGAAGCTCTAACCTTGTTGGCTCTCTTGAGTGCCGATGTGCATGGAGTCTTGATGGCCGAATCTAGTAATAGTGCGCGGACATGCAGTATACTAGTAGCAGAAGACCTGGGACAAACTCATACCGGTATTGGTACATTCATTCATGTCTATCATTCAAGCCTCAGCTACTCAGTGAGCTGGCGCTTTTGATCGTTATGTTCGGTCTTGCACATCAATTCCCCTCTACACAACCTGGGTGCCGTAACCCCTGATCCTGTCGGCAAATGCCCAGCTCTGGTTCTCCAGCTTCACGTTCTCATCGAGATCGACGCCGTCCTTGGTAATGACGGCAATCGAGTACTTGTCCATACTCCTGGCATCCCTGTAGAAGAGAACCTTCATGCACTCCTTGATCTTCTCTACCGCCTGCTCCCTTGTGACGTTCTCCACGGCGGCCTCATCTGGCAATATTGTCCTTAGGATTGGCTGAGCGAGATGTGCACCGAAGCCAGTGGCCAGCGATGGTGATGAAAAGGTGGTACCGAGAAGGTCTGCGCTTGCGAGGAAGGGCTTCTTGTCTCCGTCCATGCCCACGATGAGCAGGTGGTTCCACAATGGATCGAACTTTGAGCGGCGATTGTACATGACTTTGGCGAGGTAGGTGTGGAGGTTCTTGGCGTTCAGCGAGTTTTCGGAGGAGGAGTAGTTCTCGCGGATGTCGAGCGAGTTGAGTAGGCGGTCCAGGTACTGCATGTCGGAAACATCGCCGCCGAAACCCACGACGACCTCGTCATTGAACTTTCGTAGGCGCTTGACGTCGGTGAAGCGAGCGAGGGAGCCGTATGAAGCTACATGTATGGTCAGCCAGACCCTCACTGCCTATAGTAGTGTGCCATACCCAGGTTGTCGGCGGCGATGACTACGCCGTCCTTGAACTTGGCCGCAAGGACTGAGGTACCCGTGACGATCGGGCTCTGGGTGTGCTGGTTGGGGCCGGCAGCGGAGAAGTGCGAAGGGTCGTAGGCGCCGTATACATCGTCTCTGGGCTACGATGCATTAGTACTGTTGCTGTTGGAGGCGGGCGGAAGACATACGCGACCCCAAGCTTGCGGCAGGTGGTTCATGGTGGAAGAGGCGACTGAAATGCAGAACTGCAGAGACGGTGTTGTTCGGGATTCGGAGAGAGTGCTATGTCGCAGTGGGCTCAGAGGTGAGGTTGTTGTTGTCACGACGCTCGTCAGGCAGTCGGTGGTTGCGCAGCTCGCCCGCCAAGACATGGAGCTGGCCCAAGCTCCGCATATTGAGGTCAATCCGAGAGCATCGTCCACCAGCATTGCGCACTCACAATGCTCGGAATCGACTACCCAGACAGTGACGACGAGGACGTCGTGCCCGCGACCAAGCCAGAGGTGAGACCCGCAAATCTGTGGAGAGGGCTCGGATCGCTACTAATATAGAGTTGACCAACATTCCTGCAGCTGTCGCGCCTACCCCAGCGCCTCTCTCCGCTCCCGCGCCTCTCGAACAGCCGCCTACATCGTCGGGTCCGGTGAGCGGCCCTGCGCAAGGTCCGACAGTTTCGCCGCCTCCAGAGGACGATGCCAACGCGAACGAAGCCGCGCCAGGCTCACCACACACAGCTACACGTGCCCTGATTCAGAACCTTACTCTACCTACCGTACCGAACTTCGATATACCGCCTTCTCCGCCGGGATCACCACCACAGAAAGCGACGAAGAAGTTTGCGCAATTTCTAGAGCTCAAGAAGAAGGGCCAGCATTTCAACCAGCGCCTGGAAGGCTCGTCCGTGCTACGCGATCCGGGACACATGCGGAAGCTGATGGGCTTTGCGGGAATCAGCGAAGAGGACGCATATGCATCTACACTGCCACAAGATGTCGCGATACCGGCAGTCTTCCCGGAGTGGGCCTATGTCGAGGAATTGAGGGCTTCACAGAAGCGCATCGCAAAGACCAAAGAACAAGAGAAATCCAAGGCACCGAGAGAAGCTCTCGAGTTTGTGTCCGCGTCCGCGTCCAAGACTGGCGCGTCGAGTGGAACGGGCACGGCGTCAAGCTCTGCTACGGGAAAGCGCAAGGAATTGGAACATAGAGGAAAGGACGATCAGGGCACAAAGAGCAAAGTAGAGCGCAGGTCAAGGTCGCCGAAGAGGAGACGATCAAGGTCTAGAGAGAGAAGGTGAGGGGAGAAGATAGCACAGACTGAGAAGACTTGTAGTAATACTGTGAATGCGGCGTTCGCACAACCAAAATGAAGTACATCCCAAGACATTTGATCCAGACGCTTGCTGTGCATGCCCGCCACGGACGGTAAATGCATGCTCTCACTACATGGGCGCCAAGACACTAGCGCGCGGAAGCTCCAGGCATTCGAGCTGCGTAACTCCAGAGCTCCAGCACCAACAAACAGAAGCGTCGCAACAGCCCACCCCCCTTCCGATACCGACTGTACCTCTGCAAACCCGCCCGAATCCGCCTCTCCAAAATTCGACGATGGCTGCCCTCTACACCGGTGCACCTCCGCAAGGCGGCCCAGGCTATTCGTTCAAGCAGACCCCCACAACTGTTCCGTCAGGCGAGCGGCAACATGGCTTCTACCCGTACGCTGGCTCGCCATGCTGAACATGCGCACCGCTAACACAATGCAGCTACACGGACAACGGTGGCTCAACACTGGGCATCTCCGGCGCCGACTTCGCCATCCTCGCAGGCGACACACGCTCGACTTCCGGCTACAACATCAACACACGATACGCACCCAAGCTCTTCAAGATCGGCGGCGAGGGACCGGAGAACAAGGGTGCCAGGATAGTGCTATCAGTGGTCGGTTTCGCCGCCGACGGTGATGCGCTGAAGGAGCGTCTCGACACCATCGTCAAGATGTACAAGTACCAGCACGGAAAGCCCATGACCGTCTCCGCCTGCGCACAACGACTCAGCCACATTCTCTACAACAAGCGATTCTTCCCCTACTACGTACACGCCATCCTGGCTGGTTTGGACGAGGAGGGCAAGGGTGCGCTGTACTCCTACGACCCGGTCGGCAGCTACGAGAGGGAGCAGTGCAGGGCGGCTGGCGCTGCGGCATCTCTCATTATGCCTTTCTTGGACAACCAGGTCAACTTCAAGAACATGTACGAGCCAGGCAGCGGAACAGGCCACGAACTCAAGTCGAAGCAAGCACAACCGCTACCGCGGGATCACGTCGAGGACCTGGTACGGGACGCCTTCACGAGCGCCGTGGAGAGGCACATTGAGGTTGGTGATGGCCTTCAGATGATGATCATTACAAACGAGGGCATAGCCGAGACCTTCACACCCCTCAAGAGGGACTAAGAAGGTGTGATGTATAGACTTGGGGTGCGGTATCTTCACGAATTTGATGACTTCAAAACACCAAGCGGATGTATAAGTAGCATACCATCATGCTACTGAAGATTAAGAATTCATCTACATGACCAATGACCGAACATGTTCAAGACAACCTACTGTTCTCCTTCTATTGTCTTGATTTCGTTTGTTTGTTTATCTGCAATTAATAACTATGTGCTATATCTATAACTTATCCAATAACAGAACGCTGTTATTGACTTATCTTCTAGTATATATTATGAAGTGATAAGTAGATTGCTACATATGCTTAGCTAACAGGATACGTAGACAACCTACCTACCTTAGATTAATACACAGAGCACCTAATTGGCATTATGTTCCTATCTTAGCACAAATGTTTTCTCCGCTATTACAAGTAAAAGAAGGCATAGAAAAACACAGGCAAGAGCAAAAAAGAACAGACACCCTTAAGGTATTAAGTGTCTGGTGAAAACTCCGCTACACTCCCCAAATCGGCATCCTGGCATGCTCCGAAGATGCCATGCCAGGACGCCGCCTTGGGGAGTGTAGAAGTGGTTTTATCACGACTCGAACCCGCGGCTTCCAACATAGCTGGGAGCGACCCAGCGTTGGCGGTGGTCTTACCCACTCCTTTGCTATGCTGCACGTTTCCGGCCGATCATCAGGTCTTCCATCCCGAGTCGATGGAGGGACGTAGAAGATCTAGGACTATATAGCGAGAGAGAGTTCGTGGTATACTCTGTATAAAATAGGCGGTGGAGGGAGATGGCTGGACCGGTGGGGAGGCGAGGTGAAAGTGAGTGTGGGCGTTTGCTATTTTGCTGGGTGAAGGCGGGCTGTGCGTGTGTGGCCTGTGGGAAGCGAGAGGTTTGACGAAGAGAAAGATGGTGAAGACTGAAGGATGACGAGGCTATGATCATGACGAGAGGATGGCTTGAGAAGAGGGACAAAGGTTGCTGATATACTCACGTGGGCATACATGGGATGGATGATGTAGCAACAAAGAGATCAGAGAGACCACAACCCAACACATATTAGAGATCGAGGCATGAATGGAGCACGGCATCGACGTACGTGAATGAAGAAAAATGTACTCACGGGGATGGCAACAGAGGTGATAGAGGCCACTTTGCTACGTCGAAAGATGGTCGATCGACGATAACGACTAGGAACTGCGGCACCCGTATCGAAGACTGTGTAAAGAAATACACCATGGTCGACCAAGGATGTGCGATGAAGGAACGACGGAGGTTCGTGTGCGTCGTGCGCGCCCCCGGGGCCCCTGCCCCAAACGTGCTAGCGGTCCCCACATCGGCAGCAGCCAGCCAGGTGCCGACTCATCACTCTACCTACTGCAACCCGAGCACGCACTTCTCAGGCAGTCACTTCATCTGGACTTAAGCCTTCTATCACCTCCGACGCCATATTGGGAAGAGGAGAAAAACAAGCTTTCTAACCGAAGAACCGGATCTGGGAAATGCGCAAACGCGGCACGCGTCGCTTCTCGAATTTCATCTAAACAGATTGCTTTCGATAACTCGTCGCCCTAAGACCTGGATGTCTCGCCCGATCGCCCTAGATCACGGTCTCGCGAATTCAATGTGAAAATCGAACGTTCAGTTGCCGAAGGTGTTGGGGCTGCAATATACAGGAACAGCATGGTTACCACTGCCAATCAGCACATACGCGTTACGAGTGTTGAGATTCTCGATCCCGAACCGCAGAGATGCGAAGAAGAAGCTACCATACGTTCACAAGACTTGCGCCCAACCGAACCGACGGGAGCTTTATCCGGTGGCTCGTAGCACACGCATTATATGCAAGCAAGCCTGCACGACACCCCCAAAAGCATACCTGTCAAACGAATCTAGAGCCCAGTTTCGGTGTAGTCAACACTGAATGGCTGCCTTTGGCGCACTGATTAATTTCCACACCACCTGCAGGACGTTACACGTGGAAAACTGAACCCGGGTTACGGCACTGACAAGCTTTGCTTTCATATAATCGCAAGTCACACGACGATGCCATACTCTAGAATGTTGCCTCTTGGGGTGTAGTCGCCTAGATCGATACCGTGGGCTACACTCCACCTGTAAGCGAACATGTTGTATACTTCTTAGGGGATACAGAGGCAAGTATAAAGAGACGATAGGTAGGTATTCAATTCGATACCATCCCAGAACAGTCACAACACTTGCGTTCATTTCATCCAACGATCATCGGCAGAGCATTTATCATGAAGAGTGCAATCATCTTGACCGGCGTTGCTGCCTTCGCGACACAGGTAGCCTCTCATGCCACTTTTCAGCAGCTTTGGGTAAACGGTGTAGATCAGATAAGTACCCCCAAGTGTCTTGTATCAACCGCTGACATCCATCCACCAGTCGACGTGCGCAAGATTACCCAATGGCAACAGCCCCGTCACCTCAGTAGCAAGCAACGACATCCGCTGCAACGCCAACCGCGGTCCAGCAGCCTCGAAATGCAGCGTTCCTGCCGGTGGTACCGTCACCGTAGAGATGCACCAGCAGAACGGCGACCGCTCATGCGCTAACGAAGCCATCGGCGGAGCCCACTACGGCCCCGTTCTGGTCTACATGTCCAAGGTTGCAGACGCATCCACAGCGGATGGTTCGACCCCCTTCTTCAAGGTCTTCCAGGATACATGGGCGAAGAACAGCGGTGGCGGTGGCGGTTCGGATGATTACTGGGGTACTAAGGATCTGAACAAGAACTGTGGAAAGATGGATGTGAAGATTCCCACCAACCTGGCCCCTGGAGATTATCTACTGAGAGCGGAGGCTATTGCGCTACATGCTGCAGGTAGTGCCAACGGCGCCCAATTCTACATCACCTGCTACCAGATCACTGTCACTGGTAGTGGATCTTCTTCACCCGCTGGCGTATCGTTCCCTGGAGCATACAAGGCTACCGACCCCGGTATCCAAATCAACATCTACCAGAACCTCGCTTCGTACGTCGCTCCCGGTCCGGCAGTCATCGCGGGTGGTACAGAAGCCGTTGCTGGTAGTGCTGGATCAGCTGTCACTGCTACTGGTGGAGCGCCAGTTGCTACAGCTACTGCAACCACGATGAGGACGTCAGCGGTAGCCACCTCTGCCGCCGCTGTGCCAACGAATGGAGGTGGTTCTGGCGCTTGCTCTGTTGCAAGGTACGGCCAATGCGGCGGAAATGGTTTCACTGGATGCAAAACTTGTAAGTCGGATGAGCTGAGAAAACGTGCAAATAAGGCTTTACTAACGCTGTGTAGGTGCTTCAGGACTTACCTGCAAGGCCGGAGGTGATTACTACTCGCAGTGTGTCTGATTAGCTTGAATGCAGTCCAAGGGAGGCCCGTAGAAACTTCGTGTAAATACTTTGCAGTTGACACAGGCGCCAAAACCTGTTGCATTCAACAAATGACATTCGTTGTAGCCGCCTAGGTGGAATCAAAGTCTGCGTGATAGGGAAAACGCCCTCCCACAGCTCCATCGCATTTATCGCATCCAAGAACATTGTCAACATTAACATGCCTGGATCTGACTCATTTGGTCGCATGTGCCCTTTGAATGTCATGGGCTTCTAGACTCCGCCCTTTCCATCGGAGCAAACACGTCAAGCTAACCCTCTCCAACCTACCGGCAAAACCATCGGCACTATTTTCATTCCGAAGATTCTCAGTCACCATGCAGCCATAAGGATACATGCAAACAAAAAAAGACAATCCAGATCAAGAAAACCAGTCAGACTTTGTAAAACACACCTGACGCGTGTATCCTGACATCTGTGCATGCAACGTTCTTCAGTGCCGCGATTCGGCATTGGACGCCTAACACTGTTGCCTAGCGCTGACACCACGATGCTTGCACTCGCTTACCAAAGCCCGCCAAGTAGGTACTCCGAGGGCTGCACCAAATGTGTAAGGCATGCAGTTAATGGCTTGTGCTGAGTGGGGAAGAGTCAAGTTGAATTCCGAAGCAGCTGGAAAGGGCAATGACGAACCTGATAGGGTCTCCGAGCTGATCGGTAGTGATATGACGAGTCTGCATATAAGAAGACATGTGGAACATCAATGGCAGAGTCATACTTGTCAACGAGAGCAGCCGCATACATTAAATCAACTGTCCCAGCCTCTCGATATCTCCAAGCACTATCAATACGACATCTACTTGTCACTGCTACCGAAGTACCACCACAATGTCTTCTCAATCCAACACCACCTCACCAAGCGATCTGCCACGCTATTCTACCACTGCACCACCGCCATACTTATCTTCCGATGCGAACTCTCTAATCTCAATGAAATCAATGTCGAAAAGTATTCTGGCAAAGTTGCTGAACCGAAAGCGTATGTTCATACATCCTTTGATGAACTGGAACTCTAGCTAATACATATAGCAGCTGCTGAAGCGACGTCGCAGTCGAGCAACGAAGCACAAAAGAAAGTGGATGAGTCTGAGAACAGAGCTGCTGCGAGAGCGGCGTACTTCTCCGGGCTCTGAATGATTGGCCGCCTTTAGAGGAGTCAGATTGCCGGATTTGGGTTTCGGATGACGCGTGGAATAGTTTGTATGCTTAGATTCTGGGAATAATGTTTCTGGAAGAGCGGTTTGAGGCGTAAATCGTGTCGGATTTCCATAATATACCGGGATTCGGGTATGAGGCGTTGGACGGTTTGTTTTAGTTGGCCGAGGCTTTGCAGTCCTGTCAACACAATTGATTACACTCAGAACAAGTCCTGGATTGGTCAGCAAATTCTTTCTGCATGTGACTCTTCAGCTTACCGCATTATTCCACGTTGCATTGTCTAGCCAGTTCAGAAAGTCGGAGGACTCTGTCGGTATAGGTTCCAGCCCCTCGGTCATGGGCATGTCGAAGAATCCCTGCCCCATCCCGGTCAGATTAGCTGCGGTATCGTCACCGGCATCTGGTGTGCCTTTGGTTGGAGGTTCGTAGTTGAGGACCTCATCTAGTACCAGCGCGAGCATTTTGTTGAGCTCGTTGCAAAGCTTGAGATTGCCGTCGCCGGGAAGAACGCTCCATTCCAAACATGAAGTCAACACGGAAAGGTTACGGATTAGGTCGGCCCGGGAGACTGTGCTAGGTAGTGGTACGCCCTCAATTGTACATCTCCGCAGCTCTAGTGCCAATACACCAGCAGCTGGGGAACAGTAGAATAAAATGACAGTGGGGAAATGGCGACGAGTTTCGTATATGCGGTTTTGCGGCTTGGAAGCCACGAGTGAGGACACCAGTAGCTTCAGAGACACTTCCAACAATGCCGGCAGAGCTTGTTGCGTTATCCGATGAAGGAGGCGTTGTGTTTGGAAATGTACGTGCAGGTAATCCAGGTAGTAGGCGACCAGTCGCATGGCCAGACCAGGACCGCGGTCTACCCAAGCAGCTTCTTCGGTATATGTATCATAGCGAAGGTGAGTCGGTAATGAGTTCCACCATTCGGCACATTCGGCAGATATTGCTCTGCTCTTGTTAGCCGAAGGTCAAAAAGCGATGGGAAATCTAGACGTACTCGACATTCCGTACCACTTCACTATCCTTTTCGCCTGCAAGACTTTGCTCTAACAACCTCTCTTTAAACACAGCAAGTTGGCATCGCATCCTACCGAAAGTAGTAGGGTGTAGATGACCTTCGGTATTCCAACCGTCGCTGTCGAGCTTCGAGAGCGCAGCATTGAGTACTTCAGTATCGTCCGAGGCCATAGCGCGATCGCTAATGTCCAACAACATCTTGCGGTCACTGTATCTCCAGCCCATCATCGGAGGCCTTCCGTAGAACACCGCTAGCGTCTTGTCGCCGTAATATATCGCCGCGTAGAGTCGTCTCCTGAATTCGCGCATGAAGAACGGTTCTGCGTTGCTACCGTCTACGTTGCAAGCCTCGCAGTGGATTCCCGCAGCGTAAAGTGCGGATACGCTGTCGCCCATACGCCTCCAAGTAGCATGATCTGGAGAGTCAGCGATCGTAATTTAGTCTTCTGGATGTAGGGGTGACGTACGGTTGTCCCCATAGAAGCTACTGACTACCATCAGGTTGATGTAAACGAGGCATACCATGACTGCTTCCATCAAAACGTGTACGGTAAGTCTGCGTATGAATGATACGTACGCTCATTGACAGCGCCATGTGTTTGGCAGATGTTGATACACGTATTGGTTGCATGCATTATGTCCTCGATGAACTCCTCTCTATTCATCTGCTTGCCATCTTCTAATGTGAAGAGGGGGTCGTTAGGCGATGTGAACTGTGCACTAGAGCCGGCAATCGCCATGATCAAGCCCAAAATCTCCCATCTCAGATTTTTGCCTGTGAAGAGAGTGTGAAACTCTGACGGACGCATATCTGAAGGTATTTTCATTGGGCGAGCGGAGTTCCTTGTCATCTCGGCGTAGAGCAGGTGTGCGTGATTACCAGCAGCTTGGAGTTGTTCTAAGTCTATGCGCAGTTGTGGCAACGCGGAAAGAATAAGGGGACCAGGGAGGGCTGGATCTAGAATTTCGATGTACTAAGTCAGTTTATATCTCATACGCAGTGTGTACCTGAGAGATTTTACCCTTGTGCGATTCGAAATACATATGAAGAGACCTTTCATAGAAGGCAAATGGCTGGAGCGTAGAGACTATCGTATCTCCTAGAGAGAACTGGCAATGACGGTGTGCCATGCCTCTATTTGACACGAAAGGGGCTGTGCTCGGGCTTTCGGATGGCTGTTCATGTACTGTGTCTGGTAAGGGCTGCTCTTCTGTGAAGACAGCGGCATAACTAGTAGAGCCCAAGAAGAAGTTCCGGGATGGGTCGGGTCCGCTTTGTGTTGTTCTAGTAGCAGACTCTGGAGGAGTAGGCCATGGCCCAATTCCCGCATCATTCCTCAAAGTTGGTGGACTTAGGGTCAACGGCGTCAACCTTCCCTGACTGGATGACGGATTTGTAGCCTGCGCATCCAACCGGCGACGACGCGGCTCTGGTTTCTTGCGAGGAGTGCCAGCAGGCTTCGTCATTGGGTTAGGGTGGTAAAAGCACTGTTCTGTCATCCCACGAGTCTGGCACTTTGAGCATGTGGGCGTGGCATGGTCGCACTTGATTTTCGATATGCGACATGGTTCGCACGACCTGCGCGTCACGATTAGCCACCCGTGGGTATCTGACTGTCGAATTCACCAACCTGGGCTTCCCGTTCCTTCGCAGCATACTAGATGATTCTCCGAATAGTGTAAGATTAGTGCGAAAGAACTGTTCCGCACCTAAACTCACGTATCTCCTACATACAGAAGCAGAACTTCGTCGGAGTAATTCTTCAATGTTCCGGCGAAACGGCCCCGCAGCTTGCTAATCCCAAGTAGGTCTAGATCACATCGCTGAACGCCCCATAGTCTCTCTCGCCATTGGATGAGGTTGCTGATAAGCGGGAGCCTACTGGTGATGTACATGATCCTTACTGGAATCAGCTAATGACACGGAATATTCGGAGTGAAAGAATGTCACCAGCCACACAAATTGCAGAACGCTCACCTGGGCAGTCATCGGGTGCATTCATTAGAATCCGCTCTGGAGGTGTTCGCTGATTTCTGCGTGAACAGGCTGATTGAGTACAGGTAAAGATTGAGCGATGAGCGACACTGGATTACTCGTATCGGATATGTGAAGGACTGCTGACACACAGTGCGGAGTTCTCGACGCCGATGATCTAGCGCGAACTTCGGACATCGATTCCGTCGAAGGCTCCGCGTCAGAAGTCGTATCTGACATTCTGTGGCAAGTCTTTTCCGAGCAAATAAACGCCATTCGCTATGTATGCTGGTTCTCTGTGTTAAATTTAAAAAGAGCGCCCCAGGCGCCAACGCTGAACAATGCTAGAGTAAGCTTGCTACCAATCCACAAGCGTGTACATCTTCGCATGTTTGGGTATAATGCATAGCCATAATCACTGCCACCATCTTGCCTCTCAGCTCGCTACACGTAGTTGAGAAGGGACCATAATCGCCACCATCAATGTCCCTTTCTGAGGCTTCTGAGACTACTCCTGGGCAATCTCTTGGGATCTTCCCCTTCGACTATGACCTTCGTAGTGACGCGTATATTCTGCTCCTCTTCGCTCTCGCCGAGATTGCTCATTGGGTACAGCTCGTCCTGGCTCCCTGTTCTTACATCATCTTCCTCGCCATGAGTGCTCAGTTTGCTACCTTTTGTCACACGACTAGCGTTCCCTAAAGAACGGCCCTTGGATCCAGGGGTAGCAATGCCAAAGTGGTATCCCTCAGTGGAACTCTGCTCTTTTCTCGATACCCTTGCGCGGTAGAAGCCGTACATTCCAGGCATATTGGCGGTGATGATCGCTACCGCGAATTCGATAGACGTGACGATCGTGACGGAGCCGAAGATGTACGACACATCTTTCGTGTTTGCGAGTTGCCACAGGACGATGAAGCGAAGAAGCGAAATCATAATCGTGCAGCCTCCAAGGGTAAAGACGCACATCAGACCGATTCGGCGGCGGACCGTAGTTTGTACGTTCCACAGAGGGTAGATCGGGAGGAGGTAAATCACTACGTCCATGAAGACGTTCTGCATAGTGTCAGTGGAGAGTAGTCTGACAGGTGACGAGCGACTTACAGCAACGGAGGGCAAGTAGTATGATAGACCAGAGGAAATGCAGACAGCGTTCGGATAAAGTTCTGGGGTGAAAAAGGCTTGGATGGGGATACATTGCAGGCCGTAGAAAATCCATGTGCCGCCTGTCTGCAAGCCGACCAGGATCATAGTGGTTATAACCGCGATCCTAAAACCTGGTGTGACCTCGAGTGTGCGGCGATAGAAGAAGAGGAACGACATCTTTATGAAGAACTGTAGAAGAAGATAGTAGAACTCTTCTGCGAAGAGATACTGCCTTATGTGTTAATATGTATGACCAAGCGAACGAAAGCGCGCACTGCACGTAAGACTGCCATAACGTACAGTGCTGATTTTCTTGAGGTTTTCAGGCTTAACACGAGGGTCGGTAACGTGCCTAGAAAAACAGTTGGAAAACTTCCCTCCAGAAAGTGTCAAACTTACAGTCCACCGCCTAAGATGGTCCACATCCAAGCGATATACTGCTGCCCGATGAACAAAATCTGTCTCTGGGTCAGTCACAGCGCGGCTCAGAAACAGGGTAGGTTTAACACTCACAGTTCCAACCAGCATGAACCAGTCGTCTGTACCAAAAGGCTTTCGTATAAAAGCTCGAGTGTAAAGCCGGATAGCAGATGATATCAAGCCCATTATGAAGAATGGAACTGTGGTGATCCAAACAATGGGCTGAATGTTATCGTACACCACCAAATTCACATTATCTCCGGCTCTTCGGACGAACTCCATAGTGGGCAGTGAACAGTACGTGAAAACTCCAAACGGTATGCACTTCTTCTCAACAAATACCAAAAGATCGCGAGTGTTTCGTCCGGCCGCAATAAGTCGAAGTGCTGCGAGTGAGTAAAGAGTAACCCCTTACAAAACGGGGAAAGGTATGTGTCGCTATACGCGACGCAGGAACCATTTGATTTTTGCAGCATGTGCCCAATGAAACGGTGCGTGAGTCGGCATGAAGAAGCGCTCCCGATCCTTGTCATGAAGTCGGCCCTATGTCGTTGAAGTTCGCGACTCGTTACTAGGACGAGTATCGGGTGTGGGTTGCCAACGGTCCAAACATGCGGTAGCGACATTCGGTCCTGATGAGGAGACCCCTTTGGGCACGAACGTGCGGCGTGACGCAGTGTGATAAGCGGTGGCATTACCACGGTGTTCTTCAAAACTGATGTTATCTCCCTATCGCGACTTACGTTATAGGCAGTCCGCGAGCTACCCTTAAGGCTTGACTGTAATGCGCTGTTGTGTCCTGATCAACTAGAAGTAGACTTTATACTTGTCTCCTTATGTATGCGCAAATGGTATGTGGGTAGTGGAACGCGAATACTTCGGAAGTATTGTGCATTGCCCTAGTCAAAATCTGGGGTTGGACTCCACGGAAGTCTGCATGAGGTGAGATATGCTTTCATTCAAGCTCGCGCCGCGCCGTTGCCGCTTGCCGCGCCTAGATTCCGCACGCACTCACCATGCTTCCTGCGAGACATTAGACTGTCCTGGCGAGACCGTACAAGAGTGAGTCAGGAACGGCACTTTATCGGATGTAGAACTGCAGGTTTTCCGACCGAAGTAACGCCTCACAAACAGTTCATGATTGGCGCACTGGTTAAAATGAACCTTGCCATCTCCACAGTGCAAGGCGCGCAACGTCGGGGCTTTGACATGATCAGCTGCTGAAATTCTCCGTCCTCAAGGGTCGTGGTTTTAAGCGAAATCCTTCTGTCTCTTATTCATTGCATTTTTCTGGAGCTTCTCGGCCTCAACCACGTTTTACCCCAGCAAGCAGCATGTCCGCGAAAGAGCTTAGGATCCGCCCAGCAGGTTGGGAGAGCGCTCCTGCAGAGGAGGACTTCGCTCTCTCCGATATGGACCACACCATGCCGAAGATCTATGTGCAGATAGTGGAGGTGTTCCAGCTCGCGCCACATGTTGAAAAGGCCAAGGTCGTGGATAGCATGGCCAAGGGTCTCGAAGTCACATTGAGCCAGTTCCCAATTCTCGCCGGCGGCTTGAAGATGGACGCGGACAATGGACGGCTGTGGGTGACGAAGAAAAAGGACAGCGAAGTCAGTCTGTTTGTGCAGAACCTGGAGGAAACGTTTCCTTCGTTTGAAGAGCTGGATAGGACCGATTTCCCAGCCGCGACGTTCAAGGGACACAGGTTGTTGCCCAAGGCGGTGACAGAGAAACAACTGTTCTCGCCGCTTGGGGACAATCAGGAAGACGATCTCCTCATTTCTACGTTTCAGATAAATTTCATCAAAGGCGGTCTCGTCCTCGGTGTTGCTATCCATCACAACTGTTCCGACGGCCCGGGATGCGACGGCTTCCTTACCACTTGGGCGCAGAACTCTGCAGCGGTGGCCAATGGAACTTCCTTCCAGGTAGTCCCCAAGGAAACGATGGACCGATCGCGTCTCAGTGCAAAGAAGCCAGATGCTGCGCGGTGGAAGGAACTCGACCACAAGTTCCCCGTACTTAAGGATGGCGGGGGTCCGCCTCCTCCACCGCCAGCCGACTTCAAGATGCCCGAGTTGGCTATTCGAATGTGGCATTTTCCTAAGAGTAAGACGGAGGAACTCAAGTCTCGAGCCATGACAAAGACAGGAGACAGTTGGATCTCGACTTACGATGCAATCATGTCCATCCTCT